TAACAAATGAATTCTTTGAGAATTAACATACAAATGTCGAAGAAAATAAAAAAACTCCTGCATGAAAAGTATTATGTTCTACATTGTATTGTCATATGCCAAACTCGATTCCCTTGATGTAATGGCAAAAAGCAGAACGGCTCAATTGCATTAATTTTCGGTTAATTTGACATATACGTTTATTTACTTGAGGTATTGTGTTATTATAATCAATAAATTTTATAAGAATATATATATGTTTATATACTTTAAGAAAATGTTCAAGGACATAGTAGGTTTAATCAGGATTAATTTAAATAAATCTTTTAAAAGTCTTTTTTCAATAATTTATTCTGTGCTACAACTAGCATCTTTGTGTGGCAGCTTGTATAATAAATTCATATATAAACTTATGATTCGTTTTAATTGCTGCTGTTATATTTTTTAGAAACATTTGTTTGAACCGGAGTATATTTGTTCGTACTTTTAGAAACATTGATACATACATAAGTAGAATTATTAAACAAATATAATTTTTTTAAACAATCTGTTCAATTTGAAAAAAAAAGAATTTTATATTGCATTTATATACTATAAGATATATATATAATATATATTATTTAACATAAACTTATCCATAAACTATAGATAAGATTTAGATAATGCTACAAACGTTTCGAAAGTTAAACTAAAAAAGCGAATAAAAATTAAAGAAAAACATTGATATGTTTATTGATTTTTGAAACATTTATAGCACCAATAAGTGTCTTAACCTCTTTAATATATCAATTACCAAAAAAACAAATAATATTTCAAAATCACAATTGCATTTATATACTGTGCAATTATATACTATGTAACGCATATATATAAAATATATATTTAACGTAAACTTATCCATAAACTGTAGGTAAGATGATGCTACAAACGTTTCGAAAATTAAATTACAAAATCGAATAAACATTAAAGAAAAACATTGACAGATTTATATTGGTTTTTGAAACATTTATAGCACCAAGTGTTTTAATCTTTTTAATTTATATCAATTACAAAAAACATAATAATATTTGAAAATCACAATTCTTATAAGATATTTTGTATTATGTAATAATACAATCCATAAGGTTGTATGATCGTACAAGTTTAGAAACTTCATTTTCTATTGGACATAGTGCATCAGATGACACGAGTATGTTTGTACAAGTTGTAGAACGCGGAAATAAGATTTTTGTATTTACTGCCAAACTGAACAAACTAAGTTAAGTCGTCATCTCATCAGGAAACATAAAAATGAGAAAAAATAAAAGATTTTATGTGTATTCCTAAAGGACGAATAGAGCGTAGAATTATAATAAATAAGATTCGTAAAAATGGGTAATATA